ATTTGGTGATTTGCATATTAGGCTTTTATTATATTAGGATTTTTCAATCCTCACCCAGGATATGTTTTCACTGATTTTTTTTTTATTGATTTCAGAGAGGAAGGGAGAAGGAGAGAGAGATAGAAACATCATTGATGAGGAGAGAGAATCATTGATCGGTTGCCTCCTGCATGCCCCACCTGGGGATCGAACCAGCAACCCAGGCATGTGCCCGTGACTGGAATCGAACCTGGGACCCTTCAGTCCGCAGTCTGCCACTCTATCCACTGAGCCAAACCAGCTGGGGCTTCACTGATCTTTTAGAGAAAAGAGAGAGAGAGAGACAGACAGACAGACACTGATGTGAGAGAGAAACATCAGTCAGATGCCTCCCATAAACACCCTGATTGGAGAATCAAACCTGCATCCTAGGTATGTGCCCTGATTGGGAATCGAGCCCATAACCTTTTGGTATAGGGACAACGCTCCAACCAATGGAGCCACCCGACCAGGGCTTGGGGGCTTTCAAAGTGGAAGATAAAGGCAGGGTCCGGGCTGCCTTCAGTGAGGCCTCACCCAGAGTCCCTTGCTGGTCCCACCAGAGCCTTTTCCTTCTGCATCCAGTCTGACCTGGGGTGATGAGGTGAGCTTCCAGTTCCCGCGCTCAGTGCACTCATGCGGGTGGGGCTCAGCTCCTGCGAGACCCTGAGCCAGTGCTGCACAGGCAGGAGGAGCTATTTCCGCTGCCAGAGAGGCCTGTGCACGTGCTGTACCTGCTGCCTGGACTCCACCCCTCCCACTGGCCCAGTTTTTTTCTCTTTCCAGTGTCAGCTCAGAACCCCACCCCCAAGCCCTCCTCCAGGTAATAATACCAAGAACAACCAACCATCTCCTGAACTCACTCCAACGGCCTTCTTGGTCAGATGTTGTTCAAATTCTAAGAAAAATCGAATTCTGAATTCTGAGCTACCTATGAATTTGGCAAACTGGTTTCCTACCCCAGGACTGAGAACAACAAGAGAAGAAACCCAAAACATCATTCTGAAGCTGCGGGAAGATCAGAACAAGGAGGGGAAAGATGTGTGAAGACACAACAGAAACATCTTTAGCGGGAGGAACAGAACAAGATGCCAACAGTAGCTCAGAGCGACCATTTATGCTGCTTGTCCGAATGGCCTTCAGACACTGAGTGACTCTCTACACTGGGAATAGCTGGAGCGCTCACTACGCAGAGTGATTTGGAAATGTTAACACTTGTATACATGTCATATAATTAATTTCCAGTGGAGCATGTATTAACTACCAGGCTAAATATGTTAATGAGGCCAAATTTTCCAGCATGTGTAATTATTTTTTTCACTTGTTAGGAATCTTTTGTTATGTGTTTTCTGTTCGTAGTACTTGAAACTGCAACTTCTAAACACAGAATAAATAAAAAGAAAATATGTACAGGAGGAAATGGGGAAAAAAATTGCCCCAAACCCCCTACTCGAACTTTGTCTCATTTAATCCCCCTAAAAGTCCTATACGGCAGCTATTATAATTTCTACTTTACAGATGGGGAAACTGAGGCCCAGAAAGGCTAAGCAGTGTCCAGCGTCACCCAGTTGGTGAGAAGTGGACAAGGGGACAACGAGGACAGTGCCGCCTTGATGGAGACAGAACCCAAGTGAGACCGGCAGGGAGGGCCCAGGTGGGACATCCCTGGCCTGCCTTGGTCTCTCATGAATCCCTGAGCCATGGCAGCTGGGCTCCAGACCACAGTGGCCGCATGGTAATCACCTACTGACTTGGGTCTCTCCCTGGGACCATGAATTCCTCGAGGGCAGGGACCTGTCCTGTCTGCCACTGTGGCCTCAGCATCAGCTCTGTACCTGGCACATGAAGGGCAAGCAAGCAGTAGTTCAGTGAATAACTGGCCTCTAAGCCTCAGTCTTCTCATCTGAACAATGGGGTGGGTTTGGAAAGATAGCATACTTCAGGTGCTTAGCACATAGTAGGTCCTCAGAAAAAAAAAATGAGGACTAATACTTATCAGTGATCAGCCCTGTGCCTTAGAGGGGTCTGATCTATTCCCCTGTGGCCACATTTCCCCTCCAAGTTGCTATGAAAGAAACCATCCTCTAGGGGTCCCCCAGCCCAGAGTGAACCCAGGGACCCACACAGCAGCCATTCTTGCCTCCCCTTGAGCAGGGTCCTCCAGGCTTCTGGAATTAGGGTTCAACAAGGGAGAAGGGACATGAGCAATGTCCGTGGGTCAACATTTTGTGTAGCGCATGAAAGCCAGGACCACCCTTCCCTGCCCCATGGCGGGGAGGGGGGGGGTGGGGGGGGCGGGGGGGCGGGAACAGGTAGGAGTGTCACTGGTGCAGAAGAGGGGGGGGGCTGACTGGCTTACTCTCTGGCTGGGGTCCCTGGGACCATCCTGATGGCATCAGGAGTGCCCGCTGGGTTGGGTGATGTGTTTTCTGAGTGTGACACCCGTCGGCCAACAGAGGACAGCACATACATTTTTTATGATCTTGGGAAGCTCAGTCCGGTCACGTTCACTTGAAAAAAGGCTGGGCGGTCAAGGGGACAAGTCATGTCTCAGTTGTTTGGATCATCGATAGGCAGGAGGGGACCCTTCTGCCCTGATCTGGAGGTCCCTGGGCAAGGGCTGCAGGTGGGGCAGACTTCAGGAGGTGGCTGAGTATTGGGGGGGCAGGGGGAGGGGTGCTTTACTGTTGGAACCTTATGTACTTTATGGAGGGGGAGTACCTCCTGGGGGAGGGGGCAGCTGTCAGCGCCAGAGGCCAGATCTTTGCCAGGGGGAGAGGGCAACCTCATGCCCCACCCCAAATTTCCCAAGTATCTCTCAGAGCCTGGCGCTGTGAACGCGGCGGTAAAGCGACATTAGCATGGGGAAGGGGACGCACAGCGTTATCTTTGGGCCTGCAGGGGAGTTGGTATTTGGGGGAGTTCTTGGGAAGAGAGGATGTCAGTCCTGTTTCAAACCGGAGGCTTCCAGGGGACTCTGGTCTTCCCCAAGGAGGTTAGAGGCCACCAAGGGGTGGGTGGCGGGTGTGGGACAGTCTGGGTGCTGCTCAACTTCCACTGTTTGTCCATGGGGGGTAGGGGGAGTGTTGGAAATGGGCGGAAGGGCTAAAGCACCTGCTGGCACTGGCACTGGTGTTCCCGAAAGGAGGAGGCAGCTCGGGGGGCGGGTCTGAATCTTAAGTAGATGTGTCCCCATTCGGGCACCCCTACACCCCCATCTGAAGGATCCCTGGAGCGCACTTGGAGGAATCCTGCGCACCCCCAGGATGGATCCCAGCCTGGACTCCCTCCTCCTGCCTCCGCCCAGCCAAGTGGGGCATGTCCCCCCTCTCCCATCGCCCCCCAGTTTGGAGAACCCCAGTCTGTCCCCACGGGTCCAGGCTGACGTCGTCCCCTCCGCATTTCTAGGAATGCCCCTGTCCGCTGACTATATTTGGAGAGGGTTTCGAGGAAGGCACCCCGGGTCCCAGCCACAGCCCCCACCCCAGGCAGGGAGCGCGCTCAGCCGCAGGTTCTCGCCCTCTCTCTCCGACCCGGGGGGAGAAGCCGCCCCGCGGAAAATCAACAACGCCGCTTTCCAGACGGCAACTGGGCCGGCCAGCCCCCGCCCGCGGCAAAGGCGTGGGGGGGGACGGAAGGGGCCGGCCCGAAGGGGAAATGGGGCGGGTTTTTGGTGCCGGGAAGGGGGGAGGGAGAGAGGCCCCCCTTCCCCCCTTTTTTGGAGGGGGGGGTTTCCTTAGCCCCCCCTCCCCGCCCCCCATCACTTGGCTCTCGTCTGGGCGGGGAGGGATTTTTTTCTGGAAGTCTGCCCCCCACCCCACGGAGCAGGATTTGAGCCTGGGCTCCAATCTGGGCGGAGGCTGCAGGGCCCGCGGGGCACCCCCACCCCCCACCGCTCCGCGCACGCCTCCCCAGAGCCCCGAAAGGCGCAGCCCCAGGGGGCCTCCTGCACCCCCGGAGGAGGCAGCGGCGGTGAGTCTCCCCCTCTCCCTCCATGGCACCCCTCCCCCGGGCGAGGGCAGGGGCCGCGGCAGGTGGGTGCCCAGGCCCGTGGAGCGAGGAGGGGTGCGGGGCGAACGCCCGGGGGGTGGGTGGGAACCGGAGCGGGGAGGCGGCGGCCGGAGCCTCGCGCGGCTCTCCCGGGACCCGGTGAGACGCTGGTCTGGGCTGCGATCGCCGCCGCCGCCCCCCGAAGCGGTGGGGTGGACCGTCCCCATCCCCCTCCCCGGCTCCCGAGAGGGGAGTGTGAGGCGGGCGGGCGGGGTGGGATGGGGGCGAGGCAGCCCCCCACCTCCCTGGTGCTCGGGCTGGGAAACTAAGGAGGCGGTGGGGAGGGCAGCCACCCCGCCCCCACCCCGGGGAGCCCATCGGGAAACGGACTCGCTGCGTGACCCCGATATCAATGCTGAGCGGAGAGCAGGCCGCCGGCTCGCGGTCCGCGCCCTCCGCGCCCGCCGCTCCACGTGCGCCCGGGGCTGCGCTGGCTCGGATGGGGCCGGCGCCACCCTCCTGGGGACGTCGGGAGAGCCGGGGGGACGGTCCCCCGAGAGTTCCCACCTCCCCGAAGTAAAGTTGGCTGCCCGCTCGCCGCGTCCCTCCCTTCCTCCCGGAGCGGGCGGCCATAGCACGTTGGCTGTAGCTTTCGCCGGGCAGGAGTCAAAGGAAACTAGGTTCCGGGGTGCGGATCGGGGTGCCGGGGCCCGAGACCAACCGAGCTGCTCGGGCAAAAGTTAGGGGAGAGAGAAGCACAAGACATTTTGATTCGGGGGCGGGGGGAGCGGCGGTTCTGGCTTCTCCCGCTTCCAATCCCCTCCCGAGGAGCAGTGGAATGTGCCGCTCAGATCCTCTGAGGACACATCCATATTTATAATTTATTTTTAGGAGAAGTTGTGGAAAAGGGCGGGGGCTTAAGGTGGGGGAGAAAAGGTGTATGTGCGGGGGTGGCCTTTCAGAACCCCGAGGCTAACTGAGCTATTAAGATGCTGATAATTCCCCCCCAATCTGGGCAGGCAGCAAATTTGACTTTAATGAGAGACAATTAAGGGCACGGATAACTAAACTTTAGCTGGATGGAGGTGGGGGTGGAAGTGTACCGGCACCGCAGGCACTCCCTTTGCGCTTTGCTAAAGGACATTTTGGCCGCCCAGAGGCTTACCCGGCAAATTTCAGGCCCAACTGTGGATCTGGGGGCAGGAGAGGGGAAGAAGATCCCCCTATGGGGTGGGCAGATCCGCCCTCTCCCTACCACGATCCCAGCTTTTCCGCGTGATGAACTGTCATGTCTGCAGGAAAACCCTGTCATGATTCCTTCACGTATCCAGGATTCTCCTAAATCCTGCCTCCAACACAGCCCGCCCCCGTGCTGTGAGCTGGGGAGGGGTCACTCCTCCAGAAAGGAGATGTTGAAGGCTGTGGTCCCAGAATCGGGGTTTTGAGGGCGAGATGAGTTTATGTTTTATCCAACTGGCCCACAAAGTCCCGCTTTTGGGGTCATTCTCAACAGCGAGGGACTCAGGTCCCAGCAGCCCCGGGAGAGTGAGGGAGAAAGCTGACAGGCTGCGCCTCTGAAAGTCAGAGGGAAGCGGGGAGGTGTACCACTTGGGGTAAAAGTGAAAGGCTGTGTGTGTGTGTGTGTGTGTGTGTGTGTGTGTGTGTGTGTCAGTTTGTTGAACCTGCTGTGTTTTCCAGGGCCTCTTTGCTCGGAAGGCCAAAAGGAGATATGTGAAGGCAAAAGTACAACCCCTCACCCGCAGTGGTTTGATGAGATGTTTTCATGGACAGGATTTGAAGGAAACGAGTGGCACATTGCTTGCTTGACACCCCCAAAATCAAACAGCGCTGAAACCACGAATCATAATTATATCAGATTTGCCTGCAGATCTGTCAGAGGAGCAGCCCTCTGCTTGCTTCCACGTGGAATCACAATATTTCTTTGCAAGTCCTTGCTGCCTCCCTCTAAGTCGTTTTATAAGAAACTCTGCATTCAGGGAATTTCCAAAGGCAAGGGTGGTGGAGGACAAATGCCCCTCCCAGAACATTAACCTTATTAAGTTGCATTAATTTACACACAACACACACACACACACACACACACACCCCTGACATGTATTTGTAACCTCCAGATATCCTTAAATTTATTTGCAAGCCTGGATTTCAATCAAGTGTGCACAACAGGGAAAGTAAGGTACCTGAAAAAGTTCAGTGCTTAGTGGACAGGGCACATGGACACATAGATGACAGGGGCTGCACTGCCCCGGTCTTAGCAAAAGCACTTCTTGACTTCCAGAGCTCTTGCTCCAGCGAGGCTGGGCGATGGGAAATTGTCCCGCTGTCAAAGGGTGCTTGTGCTTTGCTGAATCGTCACCGCCATCGGAGCTGACTGTCAGATCCTATTTGCTCTGCTAAATAAGGATATCTCGCCAAATTAGCCTTTAATGATACTTCTACAAAGAGGGCGCTTTCTGTGAATTACCCAGGCCGGAACACGGAACGTTACGCCAAGATCCTGAGTTATAATCGCGGCGATGAAGCCGTATGTTGAGATTACTGAATTGTTACGTGTGGAAAATCAGGCAGGATTTAGTATGCTAAATGGGAATGCCGAACGTTTGCTCAGTACAGTCACTGCTTAAATTCAGCCCTCTGAAACCGGGCATGTAATTATATGAATACCTTTAGCAAACTTTCCCCCCACCCCCACCCCCTGAGTCTGGAAACAGGCAAAGCAGTATGATGAAGAGATTATAAATCAGTACTTTGCAAGTGAGAAGTTGTCATTAATTCGGCAAAGAATCACAGCTTCTTTTCATAGTCTTACCACCACCCCTCCCCCCACCCACCAAGGGGAAAAAAACACCTAAACGTGGAACTGATGTACACACTGATTACCTTTTGCCTTTTCTCCTCTGCGTAAAATTTCATTAAGCAGTTGCTATCCCACTCCCCACAAGAAGTGTGGATTTGCGGGGGGGGGGGGGGATAGCAACTCTGAATTTCGTTTTTAGCAATACACAAGCCATAGCGAATCTCACAGGGGGGGAAATATTTCGAAGGAAAAGAATATGGTGTAGCCGGGGGTAAAATTTTTAGAGGTGCTGCTTCAGTGAAACTGATACTTCCTTAAAAATAAGACATGTGTGTATGACTCAAACCAATGAAAGCTGGAAGAGTCCCCACGAGGGACACTCCCTCTATGTCTTGTTTCCCAGGCCCCCCTCCCACCTTATATTAAGAACAGAAAGAAGATTCTTGCCAGATAATAAACTTACAGCTTCCTAATAGGTTGGCTCGCCCTCTTTTAATTGGGATTGTAAATACAGCTATTTCAGACGTGAGGATAGAAATTAGTCTGATGGAAAAGTTAGTCGACTCCGTAGTTACAGCGGGTTGCCAGAAAACAGGGGCACCCGCAAACAAAATAAAACATTGTTGGCTGGAGTTATTGAAGCTGGAAATTTCTGTCTTTCCCAGCGTCCTAAACTCAGGGAAACGTAAAGTCCTTTTTGCTTCTTATTTTTGGAAAGAGGTGAAAATGAACCCTGGATAAAGACACCTACACACACATGATGTAAACAACCGTAGACTTGTCAGGCCCAGTAGCTGCGCAGGCTTTTCAGGCCAAAGGGTGGGTGTTGAAGAGAGTTTGCAAGGAGTGGAATTGGGGGTCCCTTCATCACCCCGAGGCCCCGAGCCCTCCTTGTGGTGTCTTTTCAGATGCTGCTTTCTCGGTGTCCTCAGCTGTAGGGGGCATGAGCAAATATTTAGAAAGCCTGAACGTTTCTGATTTTACGTCATCTTCCTTATATAAAACGTTTGAGCTTAAGGATCCACAAAGCCAAATTGTTGCTCAGTGTCCTTGAATGGCTGCATCAGCCCATGAGAGGGAGACACACCTAGGAAATGGAAACTCATGCTGGTGTCACCAGAAAGCCATTTAAAAAATGCATTGGGATGATGGGGGCAGATTCGGCCTCCGCCGGAGGACCTGGCCCCGGCAGGGAAAGGAGTGCGAGGCTGGCCTGAGCCTTCGGGGAGCCGTGCGGCCTGGTGTGAAAGTTTCCTCTGAGGTGTGCCGAAAGCTAGGCTGTCTTGTTGGAATCATGGGTGAGGTCAGTGCCCAGGCCTGTTGGCATCTCTGCCTAAGACAGCCTGGACTGCTGCCAGCGCAGGCCTGAGCGTGGCCTCAGAGCCACTGCTGGAGCCCAAACAAGCCCCAGGCAGGTGCCTGGGGGTCTCTCCTCCTGGGACCCAGCCCGCAGCATTTCTTGGCCAGAAGGGGGGTGCTGGGCTCCCAGGGCAGCCTCCTCTGAGACGCTACAGGGTTCACTGTCCAGTTACCACGTGGGCTCGGGTGAGGGCAGAACCCACTTTGTGAAATAAGCACAGTCTCCCAAATGCTCGAAGGGAGACAGAGGGGGTGGTCCTAAGGGCTCCGAGCAAATCTGCCTCCAGTCTTGAAGGTTCCGGGGCAGAGCTGTACTTTTGCAGCCCAGGCTGAGGCTCTCTGCTCTCTAGCAACAGGGCTCCCCAGTGATCCTGCCCTGGGCGGGGGGGTGAGGGGGTGAGGCCCAGGGGCAGCAACAAAGCACACACACAGCTAAGCCACCTGCAAGCTACCTGTGTGTGTTTGCCCCTGTCTTCTCCGGCCAGTGGGCCTCTCACCCACCAGGCGCTGAGCCCTCTTATCACAGGGAAACCTGGGAAGGAAGGCAAGGTTGTAGCCTTAGAGTGGGGAGAAGGCTTTGGGGGACCATCGGTGGGCCAGCTAGGCAGATGAGGGGACATCCGTCTGAGCCCCCCTGGGAGGGTGCCCCGGAGAGAGCTGGATGAGCATTCTGGGAGAGAAGCAGCAGGAACCCGCTTGGGGAAGGAAGTTGCATCCAGCTCTGAGTCAGCCATTCCCACGGGACTCCCATTGGCCCCAGTAACTGGACACCAGGCCACCAAAAGGCCTCGTGGGCTCCTGATTGCATCTTAGAATGGCACTAAAAGGTCCAGACTGGGCACTCGCAGGCCAGGCCATATTTAGCCTTAGGTTCACCCAACGAATATTTTAGGTGCTGCTTGAAAGAAGAGATCTGGTTGCTGGCTGTCACATGGCCAGTGTAGACTTGCTCCCTCGCAGGCCTGGCCCAGACGGCCGGCCGGGTGCTCACTGGCATCTGTGCCGGAGACCCAGAGCCACGTGACAGGTGCCAAGGAGCCAGCGAGCGCCCGGGTAGTTGGTTCTGTGTCGGGAAGCTTTTCGCCCCATTTTCATTCTGTTGGTGATAAGGACGCCTCCATTCACAGAACTCACAGAGGCTGTTTTGAGTCCCTGTCTCCTGCGATGGCCCAGTGTGATGGCCCAGTGTGATAGGCCAGCTTGCTGAGTGAGCAGCCTCCTCCTCCGGTGTCAGTGACGGTGGGAGGGGTTAACCCTTTCACAGCCGAGGGTGCTGGTGGGCACAGGGGCCCTGCCTGTGGAGACCTCAGGGCCCACGTGCCCCATGGGAGCCACTGCCCCGGACTCCTTCCTTAGCCTCAGTCGTTAGTGGTGGGCCCGGAGGGATGGTGTGTGACCCTGAGCAGTGATTTTCGGGCCTTTTTGCCCCACCAGTGACAACCTCTAGTCTCCCCTAATCAAGTCTTCACCCTCTGTTGGTTGGACGGCTGTGGAAACTGCTGCTCGCTTTCCAGATATTTTCATCCAGGTTTCCCACCTTCCCGGGGAGGAGGTCTGATGGAGTCCTGGCTCACTTAGATCATTAGTGAGAGTTTGGAATAACCGTTGGGGTCTTGGGGAACGTCGCAGGGTCCGGCAAGGGCCTGGCATTGGGGAATGACCCCTGGAACCTGCTCTGAGGTTCCAGATCCTGGTTTTCTGGGCACAGACCTGGTTTTCTGGGCACAGAGGCGGCACATCTGCGTTGAAGCCGCTGTGTGGAGACGCGCTTAGCCAAATATCAGCCAATCATGATCAGCCTTCGGGGGCCTGGGTGGAGCCACCGTACACCACGAAAGCCTTGGCTTGTTGCAAGTTTGCTCTAACGTTGTACATTTTTTCCTTTTTAGTTTTGGCTCTTGGTGCTCAGAGAGCCACCACTTCCTGCCCAGCTGGTTCATTACCGCAGGGAAAATGAGGGACTTTTGGGGGCAGATGTGTTTCCATTCCACTATCATAATGCCCCTAAAAATCCTTATTGCTCTTGCAGTATTCCTCGGGGGGCCCTGGGCTGGCCCCGGACGGCTGGGAAGACGGCAGGTCTGAGTTCCTCCAGCAACTAAAGGAAGAGAGGAGATGCCCTCCCCACCCCCACCCCATTCCCTCCTCTGGTCTCTGACAGATCTCCCCTCACGGTGCTCAGATGGTTACCACCATCCACAGACACGGGTGGCTACACATGCTGTCTGCCCTGCAGGCACAGGATGTTGGAGATCGGGCCTGGGAAGAAACGGGGTGGCTATGGCTACTGTCTGCATTTGCGTGGGGTTCCTGGGGGGAGGTGGGGAAAGTGGGAAGGAAACAGGTGCTACCTGTTGGACAAGGTGAATTTCATACTCTGCCTGGTGCCTTCCAGCAGGGCCTCTGGGATCCTCGCCTTGGCAAGGGCCCTGGGCAGTGCTGGCTTGCTCACCTGCAACCTGAGACAGACCACTGTCCCACTCCCTGCCTCGGTTTCCCTATCGGCCAAGGGAGGGGCAACAGCCCCTGCTCTGGTCCCAAAGGGATCTTGGTTGTTCCCAATGTTACAATGAGTTCAAGTTGGTTTACCAGCTGCGAAGGCGCTTTGGAAATGGGGCCGTTAAAGCATCCAGCATGGAAGGTATTAGTGCTAGCATTTAGTTATTGGCGCGTGCCAAGTTTGCCAAGACAACTCACGGGAGGGGAGACTGCAGCCCACAGAAGCTCTGGTTTCTGGAATCAGCCACCCCCAGCTCTGTGTCACCCCAGGCAAGTGACTCAGTCTCTCTGAGCCCTCATTTCTCATATACGAAACCCACTTTTAGGAATAGAAGCTTCCCAAGTCTGTGGCACCTGGCTAAATTATTCTAACAGGTATTTGTTTGAAGAGCTCATTTCTATTCGTGGCAACCGATTGGTTTTCAATTTCAGGTAGAGATAGAAGCCCGCCCCTTTTTTTTTACATCAGTTTATGTAAGTGAAAAAGGGTGAGTTGCTTGAAAGAAGAATATTAAACAAATACAGGCGGTATGGAGGATGGAGCAGAAGTCAAGATGGTAGCTTGGTAAAGTTTCCTAGGTCCACTTACTTTAGAGTCCTTTTTTGCTTTAGGGATTTTCAGGATGACCCCGTGTAGTTGGGGTGGGGAGGGGTGTGCTCCGCCCTGACAACCTGGGTGTCACTTGTCTTCCCTTGATGGAGTGGGCCCACCCCTTCCTTGCTCGCCAGCATCAGTGAGACCCCTCAGACCTTGGCCCCTACACCCACCCATAGCTCTTATTTGTCTCTTATTTCAGGACCATGATGCCCCAGTGCCCTCTTTCCCGGCCAAGGCACCTTCTCAGTGAAATGGGGGGAATATTAAACCCTCCGTGTCAGAGCAGGGGCTCAATCAGGCAGCTCTGATGGGTCCCAAAGGGCACCAGCAGCCCTGGGATGGGCAGGGGGCACAGCAGTGCCCTCGGCTTGGAGGGGGGCTCCCCCTGTGCCTGGCCGGGGCACCAGCTCCCCGCCCACTCCTGGGATAGTGGCTTGGAGAGGAAGCAGTAAGCGCTGGGTCCCCGCTGGGCAGGGGCAGACTCCAGTTTCACTTTCTGCTGTGTCATGGGGTGGGGGGTGGCATCGGGGCCCAGCTGGCCAGCTGGGGCGGGCACCTAGACAGCTGCCAGCCCAGCTGCCAGAGCACAACCCACACCCACTCCTGCCCAGCAGCCTGCCAGAATAGGGGTTGGGCCCTCGGGCCACCCCTTAACTGCCTCTCCCCACAAAGTGGGGAGAACCTCAAGTGAGAAAAGCCAGGTGACGGGGTGAAATGGTTCCTGTTGATTCTAGATGAGAGCTCCCTGACCGGACACCTGCTTCCTGCCTCCCTTCGCTGGGCACATGTCTGCTGAGGACCTACTGTGTGCCAAGCTCTGTGACAGGTGCCAGGGGTACACCAGGGAGCAAGACAGACCCTGCCCTCTTGGGGCTCCCAGTTGAGTCGGGGGGAGACAGACGAAAGTGTAAGCAAAGAAAGAAAGAATCCCCTGTTGTGGGGAAAGTTCCACACTGTAGGCTTGGCGTTAGCATCTCAGGGAGGGGCGTGCATACATGCCTGTCTATGCACATGTGCGTGTCAGCAATGTGTCAGCTCCGGGGACACACAGCTAGATGAAGAGCACAGACCTGGGGGCCAGATGTCCCCTGTTTGAATCTGGACTCTTTCACTGACGGGTGTGTGAACTCAGGTGACCTCAGGCAAGTCCCCGCTCCTGAGTTCCCCTGTCTGGGTGCTGGAGTACAAGTGTCTCCATGACAGAGCTGCAGTGAGGATGAACTAAGCGAACATCCCTAAAGACGAAGGGCTGTGCCTGGCTCCGACCATGTGCTAGGTAAGTCTCAGCTCTTATCTAAGAATAATAAATGTGCACTGTTCTTCTAGGAGGCAATGCGGCTGTCCCCGCAGGCTGAGCGCACTGGTAAGATGGTGAGTCCTTCCTCCTCGCTCAGCACTTCCCATGCCTGGTCTCACGGAATGGCCACAACCAACCCGCAGCTGGGCCTGTTCAGATGAGGAAACTGAGGCGCAGGCAGGTGAAGAAATGTGCCTAGTGGTACCCAGCTGGAAAGGCCTTTGACCCCGGCTGCAGGGCCGGCTTCAGGGTTAGGGGCCCTGCACTTGCTTGAATGCTCTGCTGTTGTCATCTTGAAATTCTTAATCATTTTGGAACCAGGCGCTCCGGGTTTTCGTTTGGCAAATTATGGAGCCAGTCTTGCCCGGATCTGACTTACTCCAAATCTGCCACTCTTACCTCCCACCATCAGGCAGCCAGGTCCAGAGTCGTTTTTTCAGAATATCAATACAGTGTTTAGTGTGGGACTGAAATTCTGGGGAGAAAATGAAGATTTATTATGGGGCCGAATTATCCAAGTATGTATTTGTTTGTCTGTGGCCCCTATTAGAACACGGGCAGGGATGTTGCCAAGGTCAAGAACCCCAACTCATTCATAGTTATATCCTCAGGGCCTAGCATGTATTAGCTGCTCAGTTAATAGATGTGATACAATCAATGAATGGGAGGTTGACCAATCTCTGGAACCAAACCTATTTAAAGGACCCCTTCCAGGAAAGCAGGTTGTTAGGGTGGTCCCTGGCCACCTCAGCAGGCTTCTGGACACCCCCTGACGGGTGTGGAGACACAGGTTTCTTTCCTCTCCCCGACCCAACATGAGTGGTTAAAGGCATGTGGTCCTGGATTCCTGTGCATCTGTTATTGGGGGAAGTGCAGTGTTCAGCTGAAAGAATACCCAGGTTTTTGTTCTGGGCAGGTTCAAGTCCCAGCCAGGGGTCAGGGAGCACAATTTCCTGAACAGCTTATTGAAAGGGGTTGAATTTTTGGATTAAATGTCCTTTTTCCTCTGAAATTAGAGTTCTTACAGTCTCGAAGCTCCAAATTATAAATATTACTGAGAAGCAAAGAATCATTTCAAAAGCCTTTAAGAGATTTATAACAATAATAAACATGCAGACGTGTTTTGTTTTGTTTTTGCCAACGATTTGCATAGGCATTGTCTCCATTGCTTCAGCTAACCCTGTGAAGCAGGAGTTACTGTCCTCATTTCCTAAACGTTATAAGCACCAGCATATATTGAGCACCAGGCACTTTACACATATCAAGTCATGTTAGTTGCACAAGCAACATATAAAGGAGGCACTATTATTATTATCTCTGGCTCTCTGATGAGAAACACGCTTAGAGAGAGGAACTGACATGTCCGAGGTCACACATCCAGCATGTGGTAGGCTGGGCTTCAAGCCCACATCTATCCCAGGGGCCAGCAGCTAAGTATTTTAGGCTCTGCAGGCCACATGGTCTCTGTCCAGCTATTCCACTCTGCCACCGTAACAAGAAACCAGCCATAGATAAACACATGTAAAGGAACAGATGGGTCCGTGCGTTCCCATAAAACTTTATTTACAAAATGCAGGAAGTGGGCCACATTTCGCCCACAGACTATAGTTTGCCCACCACGTTCCAGATCCAAAAACCTGCCTTTCTCTTAGGAAGAACCTGGCCCTGGCAACATTCTTTGCCAGCCCCTCTCCCCACCTGTGAGGTGACTAAGTTACATTTCAGAACAAAGACCACTGGCTCTGGAGCGTTCCCGTGGGCCTCCCCTTCCTTGAAGGAATTAGGGAGCTCTTGGAATTCACCACTGCTTAGACCCGTGGTCGGCAAACTGCGGCTCGAGAGCCACATGCGGCTCTTTGGCCCCTTGAGTGTGGCTCTTCCTAAGCCTTAGGAGTACCCTAATTAAGTTAATAACAATGTACCTACCTATATAGTTTAAGTTTAAAAAATTGGGCTCTCAAAAGAAATTTCAATCGTTGTACTGTTGATATTTGGCTCTGTTGACTAATGAGTTTGCCGACCACTGGCTTAGACTTACTAGTGACTGCTATGATGGAATACCATGGGGATTTTAAATTGTAATTTTATTATCTGTCAACTTTGAAAGGGGAAAGTGTTGTAGTGAAAGGAAAACCCTCAGTGGGGGCACTTAGGCTGTGGAACGGTCACCTCTTCAGAGAAGGAAAAATATCTTAAGACACAAAAAAGGTAACCGCAAGTGGATGGCAATTGGGTATGTGGGACGGGGGGGGGGGGGAGCGGGGGCAATTTCCCCAACAGGCCAGAAGCTGGAGCTTAAGGATTCCTGTCAAGAGGATGGGGGAGGGCATGATTTTTAAAAACAGTTTTATTGAGATATGGTTCATGAACCATACAGTTCATCCATCTAAAGTATATAATCCAGTGGCTTGGAGTGTATCCAGATGTAGGCAACGTTCATGGCAATCAATTTTAGAACATTTTTATCACCTCGAAGAGGAACTCCGTACCCTTTGGCATTGCCCTCACCCCTGAACCTCCAATGCACCCCACCCCCACCCTAAGCAAGCACTGATCTATTTTCTGTCTCTGTGGATTTGATACTTCATGTAAATGGAATCATAAGTATGTGATCCTTTGAGACTGGTTTCTTCCACTTAGCACAGTGCTCTCAAGGTTCACCCATGCAACAGTACATTTTAGAACGGCATTCCTTTTAATAGCCAAATAACAGCCACGTTTTGATTTATCCATTTGTCAGTTGGTAGACATGTCAATTGTTTTCACTTTTTGGCTTTCCTGAATAATGCAGCTGTGAACATTCCTGTGTGACTTTTTGTGTGGACATCCATTTTCATTTCTCTTGGGTCTATACCTAGGAGTGGAATTGCAAGGTCATACGGTAACTCCACATTTAACTTTCTGAGGAACTGTCAGAGGCACGTCTTATATTGCTTTTTCCGATTTTGTATTCTGGAAATTTCCTGTTACTGGAAACAGAGAAAACACAGTGACAAGCACCCCATACTCATCATCCAGGTTCAACAATTATCAACCTTCCGTCAGTCTTGATTCTCCAGCCTGTCCTTCTCCCCTTTGTTTCCCACTAAGGAGTTGAAGCCAGTTTAAACACCTCATTTTATGTTGTTAATTTGGCTAAAATGCCTTTTGCCTCAAACCATCCGTTCGGGTCTCCTACACCCACATCCTTGTGTGGATGGAATTTGGGGAGAACGGAGGAATCAAAAACAGTCTCCAGTGGATCCGTGTGGGGTGGAAAAGGAATAGCTTCTGAGTGAAACAGGACGGGTGACATCATTTGCAAAATGAAAATGTGGAGCCCTTCATTCAAAAACTAATAATGTGTTTAAAATGACAAGAGCAGAGCATAAAACCAAACGTTGGCCCTGTGCAACTGTTCAGGCCACATGCCCATGAGACCAGCAAAAGGCTGCCCAAGCAGAACTGATTCATTGGACACAGGAATTTAGAGCCTTTGGTGCCTAGGAGAGACATACGTACCCGTCACCCCCAATCCCTGGAAAAGTTCTAAGGAAAGTTGGGTCTCCCGTGGAATGTGGGACAGGGTTCAAACCTATTGCATTTGAGTCTCCAAAAAATTAGATGACCCCAGCTGACATGTGGGTTATAAGTACTTTAAAAAAAATAGCCACTTGTCTTAAGCCTTCTTCCCTAAGAGCCGACAGTTGTTTGACTTGGCCACACCATTGTGTCCTGGACGCGGAGTGTACTCTGATACCACAGCAAATAATAGGCCTGCAGTCTTCACCACAGAGGCCCGCTGGTCAGCAAACAACCCGGAGCTACAGGGGGACCAGAAATGCCCATTAGAGGCAGGTGGCCTGGCAGACATTGGCAACCAGGCATGGCACCCAACCCCTCCCAGCTCAGACACAGCTCCAATATCCTTCTCACAGAGTAGCCTCTACCCACCCATTGGACCTTAGTTCCTGCACTTATCTAGATTCTCAGCTCAAGAAGGCAGAAGCTCCCAGCCTTTAGTGCACCCAAGGCTGCACTTACACTAACAACCTTGTCACGACTGGGAAGAGGGAGGAGAGAACAGATAAGGAGGTTGCAGCTCCTCCTCTTCTCCAGGACATTCAATGAATGTTCATTCATTCCATCAGTGATTTGAGTACCGACTACACATAAGGGACTGTGTACTGGGTATGAGCAGTGTAGTAACCAAGACAGGCACAGCTCCTCCCCAGAGGCAGGAGAGGCCATCGTAAACCAAAGATGAACAAAACATTGTAAGTGTGATTAAAATAATTACGTGACAATTACAAAAGCAACTACAACAATCAGGTCTGAGTACATTCTGGCAGCTCTGGGGTTTATAGACAGCCAGCGCGATTCTTAAAGCAAAGCCCGGAGAAGGCAACAGAGGTAGGTGGTTCTGTTTTCGCTTTTGCTTTTTTCCTGCCAGCACTTTCTCTCCCACTTCCTGTAACAGATGTGACACCCCGTGGGAATGGCGGAAGAAGGCCTGGGAACACCCATCCCTCAGCTACAGTCAGGGTCCAGGTGTGGACACCTGAACACCCATCCCTCAGCTACAGTCAGGGTCCAGGTGTGGACACCTGACCCAATACCACTAATCACAGCAGCCCCCTCTGAGCCCAGCCACAGTGCTTGCTCCAGGTGTGGTCATGTGACCCAAGCAAGGCCAATCCAGGATTGTCCTAACTGGAGCTGGTGGGAAGGTTGCTTTTCCTCCTCTCCAGTATCCAGAGCTACCTATGCCCCAGATATTGAGGCCAGTGAGCAGAGGGGAGCATAAATGTGAGATGGAATGGAGGAGAGAGGTGGGAGTAGGAGAGAGACTAGTGCTGCATTCTGAGCCCAGAGCCTTCCAGTCCCTGGATCAGCTCAGGCTCTCCCTTCTTCATCATAGCTACCCGAGTGAGTAAACCACCCACCCCCCCCCATTCTACCCCAATAAGATCAACTTTGGCTTCTGTGTGGCCCAAAGCATCCCAATTCCAGAATTGGGGACTATTTCCCTCTTCGTGGATTGTGTGGCACTGAAGGGGTAGGCTATCCTCAGAGCTCATTCTCCCCTAGGTGTGCCTGCTGTACTTGAGAATACAAGAATCCCTAGACACACGTCCATGTGCCCCTCCCAGTTAATTTCCCACGGAAACAGAGCTAAAGACTGCCGCCCCCCCTGTTCCTGCTTGTCTCCATCTCCCAGAACCCATCCCCACACACCCCTCATCTCCCACCCTGGTCTCCACCATGGACAGAAGCACGAAGCTTGTCCTGG